CATGCCTGCAACTATCACTATTTGAGGGTAGTCTCGCACGAAAGATTCGTTTCCATGACTTTGCATTGTAGTTTTTGAAGGATGTTTCGCACAGAAACTTGGTCTTTCACACCTTCAGCTTGCATGTTTTTGAAGGAGGTCTTGTACGAAAGCCTTAACCTTGTTCCAGAAATGACCTTACTACGTCCATATCATATGTTATAGAGTGTTTTCCAGAGGTCAAGATTTAGTGAGATTTGGTAACGCATGTGCTTTCCGCTGCCGTCATGTTGTCCATGATATAAGCAAGGTTATTTTTCCAAAGAAAGGTTTTCAATTGAATGGACTGAATTCTTTTTCTTGTCACGTTTTGTGCTACTCTGTTTAGTCTCTCTCCACACTTAATGTGCTCCGACTGGGTCGCACCCCTGAGGAGTATGGTTCTATGTGATACCCTTCCTGCATGGTGCCATATAGTTTCCCCCTCAACCTAAACGGTCGTACCCCTGAGAAATATGTTTGTATGTGATATTCCCATGATAATTCCCCCCGAACCTAAAAGGTCGTACACGTGAGAAGTATGTTTATGTGTGATATTCTTCCTATATGGTGCCATGATACTTCCCCTTTAAAGGGTCCCTGAGAAGTATGGTTATATGCGAAGTTCTTCCTATATGGTGCCATGGTAGCTCCTCCCAACCTAAAGGGTCGTACCCCTGAGAAGTATGGTTATTGTGGTATTCATCCTATATGGTGCCATAATAGTTCCCCTCCCAACCTACAGGGTCGTACCCTTGAGAAGTATGGTTATACGGTTATACGTGATATTCTTCCTACATGGTGCCATGATAGCTCCCCCCCCCACCTAAAGGGTCGTACCCCCGGGAAGTATGTTTACGTGATATTCTTTCTACATGGTGCGACGATAGTTCCTCCCCCCACCAAAAGGGACGTAGGCAACAAAGCAGGCAGCAAAAAAGGCAACAAAGGAAAGCTGGCAATGGCCACGAAGGCAACAAAGCGGCACAGAACGGCAGAAACACAGACAGCCGCAAACGTCGCATAACCTCAGTATCACCACCAGTACCTTCAAGAAGGTTCCCCGGGACAGTGCCCACCATTGGGCTGACTGAATCTACCCAGAGACACAGGCGTGAAAAACCTACCACCTCTTTTTATTACAACAGAAGAGCCAAGAATAGAATTAACCAAAAAAGAAAAGATAGAAGAAGGCAGTGGAGATTTTTCAAACGCATGTGTCTGTGGGAGAGAGCCAATAAGGCAGTCAAGGAACTTTTAAAAAAGAGCAACCTTAACAAACGGAAATGTTTGAAACGCCACCATTTCAACAAAGCTATGTTTTACGCAAGATGCTGGTTCACAAACACACTTATGGAAAGGAAACAAGATTTTCAGCGTCAATGTGTAGCTATCGCAAGCCAAAAGAAAAGGCTATATCAGTGCAATCAAGTTCAGAAACAGGACGCGAAACATTGGAAGTTAAAACACGGAAGGCATTTGAAGATTGCAACGCTAAACGTCAGGGGATGTAATCATTTGACAAATCAGAACTAATAGACGCGATCATGAAAGAACATTCCTACGACTTAATACTGTTGACTGAAACAAACGTTAATTCATCCTGCTGGGAAGAATGGGGAAGTTCTTTCTGTTTCTTCAGCAGCGGCGTAGATCCCAAAGTAAGAGAACGAGAAATGAAAAAACGCGAAGAAACCACAATCTCAGGTCCACCTGGAACAACTTGTAGATCATCGGCGGATTTTGAAAATGCAGGGGTAGGTATTGTAATCAACTCAGTGCTTATGCCAAGCTTACGAGACATAAAACAAATAAACGGCAGGATTATTGTTGCCACATTTGAGGCACAGGGCTCCCCTGTTTCTTTTATATGCGCGTATGCCCCCCACAGTGGTCATAACATTGAAGAAAAAGAGGGTTTCTACGATCAGTTATCAAATGAGATATCTCAATTAAAGGGTTGCTTCTATGTAGGCGGAGACTTCAATGCTCGAATTCACTACGTAAGGGATAGTGACAAAGATGTATGCGGCCCAAATATTGTGGGTAGGGGTATGCAGTATTTATATAATATGAATGAGGCTACCAAAGAAAATCGAGCACTCTTCCTTGGATTTTGTAAATCGCACAACCTTCTGATTTGCAATAGCCAATTCTCTAAACCACCTGATAAACTAGTCACTTACAAGGAAAAGGTGCCTACTGACAACGACTCTAGATTTAATGGTCCTCCGTACGATGCTGTAAAATATGCGCAAATCGACTACTGGTTATGCGGTGTGATGGAAAAAAGGACAGTGTTGGACACCCAAGGCAGACTTGACATTCACTTTGATTCAGACCATTTCCCATTAGAATGCTATGTTGTTATAAATATCCGTGTGCCACAAGAAGACGTAAACTCCCAGGCAATTAAATACGCGAAACCAGACCCGCATCACTGGGCAACATCTAACCAAAAAGTTCGATCGCTACTCGAAGGGAAGAGTTGGGATTTAGAATCATGTACGAATGCCTTAATAGAAGCGGCCGCAAGTTCACTACAAAGAGAGTCCCCACAAAAAAAGAGAAAGGTTCATCCGACGAAATAATTACCTGGAAAAAATCGAAGAAAGAAATCAACAAGTCCGGAATGGAAGTACCAACAAAGAAGTCGCAGACCTCACAAAATAAATTGCTCGTTTGGCACGGAAGGACAAGCATGAACAATTGATTGAACAATTCAATGAAAATCGGGATTATGGAAAGCTGTCAAAGGTCTGAAGAAGAAATTTGTTCCTAATTACATCAAAATGAGAAACATGGATGGCAGACATGTCCCTCTGGCCAAGCGAGCAGAGACAATAGCGACCTATTTAGAGGAACAACACTGGAGCAACCCTTTAGAGCACGATGCAAATACCAACCAAATTGTAGATAGCAATGAAGCAAGTGCAGAGAGTTTCACAATGGACGAGATTTGTACAGCCATCAAGGGGGCAAAGCCCAACAAACAGCCTGGTCCTGATGGAATAACCATGGAATTGATAAAATAGTTGGACAATGCCAACCGGCGCCTACTTTTAGACTTATTCAACAGTTGGTGGCATTCGAGAACTGCGCCGTCGGCATTGTTCACTGCCCGAGTTGTACCCATTTTCAAAAAGGGTGATGCGGACGTAGCTTCCAATTACAGACCGATTTCTCTACTCAACAGTTTCCATAAAATCTACATGGTTATGATCAGGGCCAGGATGCAATCAGCCACTGAGACTTTACTTTCGAAAACCCAGTACGGTTTCAGACCTAACAGATCCACATCGCATGCGATTTATGTGCTTAGACGTATACAGGACTATTCTGACATTAAGGGGGCCAACCTAAGCATTGCGTTTCTTGATTGGGAAAAAGCATTTGATAAGATTCACCATGACAAACTTATTATCGCTCTGCGCCGACTGGGTTTCAATTCGCACTACACAGATGTCATCGCCGATTGTTATAGAACCCCCCAGTTCTTTGTTAAAGATAATTTTGGATGTTCTGACAGGAAAGTTCAATCCTCTGGGATTCGCCAAGGCTTCTCACTATGATCTTTTCTATTTGTTCTTGTCATGACTTGTATTGATTGGGACATACAACAAGCTGTTTCTGCGCATGTCATAAACAACCGAATCCCAGGGGCGGAGTTCGACATGGTGTATTACGCTGATGACACTGTCCTCTTCTCCCGTAGCAACAGAGGTTTAAATGAGTTGCTGCGATATACAGAGCAAATTTCAAAAGGACATGGCCTATCACTCAACAAAAGTAAGTGTGTTGCAATTGCAATGAACAATGACGGTTGCATTCATTTTGGAGATGGTACGCCTTTAGGCAAGGAGTTTGAGGCCATGTATCTTGGAAACGAAATCAATAGGACTGTAAATATCAAGCACGGAGTATTCAATAAGATGTCCGATGTCAGAAGAACCTGGTTTAAGTTAGATTCTTATTGGAAGGCTACACGGGCAAGTAAGAAGTGGAAATTGATTATTTTTGACGCCATAATTCGGAGTAAGCTTTTATATGGGTTGGAAACCATTCATCTGACGCAGGCCTTGAGTAAATCGTTAGACGCTTTCCAAATGAGAAGCTTGAGAAAGATTCTTCAAAGACCATCGAGTTTTGCAGATCGCCGTTACAAAAATCAGAAAATATTAGATGAAGCAACCTCGGTTGCATTTCCGACTCGCGGTGATAACAGAAAGATAACTCGGTTTAGTGAATATCACATGAACAGACGAGCCAAACTACTTGGACACATCCTCAGAAGTAGCAACGACGACCCCATGAGACAAGTGTCTTTCTTACCACATTCTGCTTCAAGAGTTGACTATGAAAAAAAACGAGTCGGAAAACCGAGGCAAAACTGGCTGCATCACACGAAAAGGTTTGTCTACGAGCAAGTTCTCGGATATCATAATTTTGACGAACATACCGATAATAATTGTGTGTATGCAGCTGCCATGAGTAGATCTTTTTAAGCAAGCTCACCTGATTCCTTGATTGCGCCAACGCCCTGCATTGAGTCCATCCGGACTGATCGGCGCAGGGTACGGCTGGGAAAAACCAAAAGGGACGTACCCCTGACAAGTATGTTACAGTATGTTTATACGTGATATTTTTCCTTTATGGTACCATGATATTTCCCCTCAACCTAAAGGCTAGTACCCCCCAGCAGTATGGTAAAAAATATATGTGATATTCTTCCTATTTGGTGCCATGATATTTCTCCCAACCTAAAGGGTGCCAGTGTTTTTTGGGGCGCAGATGATTGTAACTTACCTTGAAGTTTAGGGGCGCAGATGATCGTTTTTTAGGGGCGCAGATGAGGACTGAACCATCAAGAACGCCGATTCAAAGGGCGGCGTTCCAGACTTTTACAGATTTTGGGGTGAACCCTTGCAGTTCAATTTATTTGATCTAGAGTCTAGGTGATGGAAAACGATCGTTTTCAAGACATGCGAATTTTGCAGGTGCCCGTGTGACAGAAGATGCTGCACGTGCTCTCCCCATGTTGGATCTTGATTGCCAACACATGCAAAACACAATATTTAAGACAATTTTCTTACCTCCAGCCTCCAGCAGAACTGCACAAGGGGGTAGATTAGCAAACCTGTGAAAAACTCGGACGAACAGCGGGGAGCCGC